CCCCAAAACCCCAAAACCCCAAAACCCCATCAATTTGAATTAAATTGAAAAAGAGGGATTGAAAGTAGCGGCAAAATTTAAATATATGTCTGTTTAATACCGATCAAAATTATTGAAGTATTCGCTTAAACTCTCTATAAATGCGAATATTTTAAATTGCGCATTAATAACTTTTAAATTTCTAAGAGAATCTAATAATGAGTAACGAGCATTGTATTGATGAGGCAAAGGCATTTACAGTATAAGCCTTGGCTGATAACACTCCTTACAAAAATATCAATCGTCAAGGCTTGAATTAAACATAAACGCCATTCTCCTAGAAAGACACTCTCCCTAACACCCTAGTTAAAGAATTCTAATTCGATCAAGATACTAACTGTATGATAAGTTAATTTGACAGTGACAATGCTGATATTGAAGATAAGTCTCCAAAACATACTCTATAATATTTGTCCAAACTTGATTAAGGGTCAGATTATTCTCCAAATGTCGGCAGCTTTAACACTCGTAATGATTCTGGTGACCAAGAGTATTCACTTCATCAAATCGATGTCATTAACCTAGTTTCTGATTATACTAATATAACTCAGTAAACTTTTGCATATCCAAGCTAAAAGCATTGCAATTTATTAAAGAATCAGTCTCATCAGAACTCTGTGATTTTTGAGAATATTTTTGGTAGAAAGCAGAATTATGTACAAAACTCCAAATTTAACTATCAATAACCCATCGAATCAAAAGTTTCAATTCAGAACAATTAATTGAAAGGCATCGACGATCTCTTAGAACAACTAAAGAATGTGGAGCAAATCGTCGTGGAATCTGTAGATAACCATAATTAGATGGTTCAAACCAAAATAGAACCATCTTACTTGCTTATTGGGAGCAAGAAGCGAGTAAATCCAACTTAGTCAGTATGCTCAGCAGAGAACTCATGCAAAGCCTAGAGCAAGAATTGCAATTTAATTTTAGAAAATCCTCTTTCTAACGCTTAGGATGATGTCGAGATCAAACCTAATTAATACCCTAGTAATATTGGATAGAAAAGGACTTTCCCAAACATGACGCTCAATGATAATTGTATAGAGGAATAAAGCAATTTGAACATGATCCCCTGTTCTTAAGAGGGCTGTTCAAAGTCTTACACAAATAAGAATGGTCTTGACAATCACAAACGAATTAAACATGTAGGTATTCATCTTTATTACTCAATCATATTTACCATTAAAAAGATCTAATAATGTTTTTAGAATTTGGGAAAACCAAAATATATTTGTGAATACGATGGTTGTAACAAACCCTACTTTGACAAAACAAGTTATTATAACCATTGTAACTCTCATGAAGGACGTAAAAATTATGCTTGTACATAATGTGACAAAAGATATACTACTAATGGACATCTTAAAGACCATGTTAAAAGTTTCCATGATAAAATTAAAAATTTTGAATGTACCTTCCAGGATTGCACTGACAAATTTGCCAGAAAAAGTGTACTAAAAGTCCATATGAGAAAGCATGACAATGATAAGCCCTACAAATGTGACAAGTGCAGCAAATGCTTTACTGAGTCAGGAAATTTGAAAGTCCACAAATAAACTCATGATAAGGTAAGATAGATTAGAATAATAAATTCCAAATATAGGCAACTCAAAAATAATTTCGCTGTAAATTAGAAAATTGTTTTAAATCCTTCCTCACCAAATGTTAACTATCAAATCACTATCTTTCTAAGAAGCATATTGAATCTATACACATTTTATCTTAAGATGATTTGAAATCCCTTAATATTTCAAAAGAAGACATTGATACCAGAATTTGTCAACTTTAATCGAATAAAAAGTAAATTCAAGTTTCAGATTAAAAGCAAGATTAATTATCACTCCAAGTGCAGAATCTGTGTAAGAAAGTATCCCTAGAATAACTGGAAAAAAGAACCAAGATACAAAAGAAAATGTAAAGTAAAAAGCAGTAAAATAATGAAAATATACTAAGAGAGCTTTAAGCTATTGACCCTACTAGAAAGGAAAATGACATTGAAACTCAGAGTAACAACAACTCTTTATTTGAAAATGAACAATTTCTTAAGAGATTAAAATTGGAGTGAAGTCTCCTAACTAAGCAGGAATAATTCTGCTTGAAGCTTTGCTTCTATAGAGCACTTCACTCTGCCAAAACACAGTTTAAGATAATATAAAACTAATTCACTTACAATTACTCACTTAAGTATTTATATTGGATTTAAGCCAATCTTTAATCTCATCTTTGTTCGTTAAAATTATAGGTTGATTCTTATCAATATCATTGTTATCATGTCTTGGTCTCTTTAATTCTTATTAAATCTGATTCTTCAATTGTATCAATCTTTTTAAAATCGAAATACTTCATATGGGGTTTTGGGGTTTTGGGGTTTTGGGG